CCTCAGCCTCCCCAAGCGAGGGATTACAGGCTGAGCCACCGAGCCTGGCTTAAAGTTTCTTTTTTCCAGCTTAATAGGGTGGCATCAGAATAAGGCAATATTAAGGTAGTGGACGCTACAGGCTGCCATGGGATCCTAAACCTAACCCTAACCCTAGTATTTCCAAAAAAGGTTGAACTCATTATCTTACATTAACATTCTGTAAGTTAAAAAGAAAAATCAAGTTGTCTCATGAACTGGAAGGTGATTTATTAATTCTCTTTCATTTCCAAACCTCATCAAGCAGTCACTACACTTATGAGGAAAGTCAGCTGAATGAAGACGAGATGAATTTTAAGATCTTCAATTTGTCCTGTTGAATATTCACAATATTGACATAAATCAATCACTTAGCATGCAGAAGCCAAGAAGGGCATCCCCAGGCCATAACCTCTGGGTCTATGTAGAGACCCAGGTGCCCTTGGAACCCTGTCCCTGAAAGGCAAATGATGTGGGAAGCAGCGGTGTCATTATGAGCAGGCTGCCGACTGCAGATGTCTGTGTGTGTGCCCCAATTCCTCCCTATTGTTTGTAGGCCTGAAAGACCGTGGGAGGCACAGTGCAGCCCTCCCTGGGGAGGAAGCCTTGGGCTTCCTCTGGGTCAGTGGCATCCCCTAGCCAGCCCTGGGAAGGGGGGAAGTTCAACAGATGACGAGGAGTAGCCATAGGTGGCAACGGTGAAATGACCGGGCACGGGGCCTGGCCTTCTGGGACCCCCCCTTCCCACGGCGTCTGTGGCTCTTTCCGCACTGGAGCGCTGTCCAAGCATGCAGGGCCCTGGAGAGCCCGCTTGTCTGAGCAGCCTATAAAAACGAGGGGTCCCTGAGAAACTGATTCCTCAGGGCTAGGTAGGGCTCCAGAACTGTCATTTCCAGGTCCTGCGTGGCCCGGGGGGAAGCAGGGCCCGCTCCGGCAGGTCGGAGGGTAGCTGGTGAGCCGTCCACGGGCGCGGGGTCGACCTGCAGTGCTGGGCAGCCCCTTGCTGCACCGTGCAGTCGGCGGAGGGAACGGGCGGCTTGGGCGCGCAGACACGAGGAGGCAGTCCCGAGCCCGGCCAAGGTCCCCCGGGCGCGGGGCCCGGGGGCCGGCTC